GCAGCAAAATTCAATGCACTTCAAATGAAGCTCAACATGCTTCAAACGAAAGCAAAATCAGGAACCTGTTCATTTCCAATGAAAAAGTTCAAGGGCGCTGGACCGTACGCCGTGTGTTGTGACAACGTGCCCAGCAAAACAGGCTGCTATATGCATGGAAGGTAAACCATCTGCTTCCGGACTAAATGACTTACTGACACCAGTAGGAAACAGCCCGATTGCGATGCCAACTGCAATGCCGTTTAACACAAATTGATGCCATCACAGCCCCTTTTATGCCATCACAATCACTGTGACGGCACCAATTTGTGTCAGAATGGCATTGCAGTTGGCATTGCAAACATGACGTTTCTATCAGTATGAAGTACACGATTTCTCACGATGTCAAACGTCCGGGCTTGCCACGCCCCACCTTTTGGAATGTCACCCAATCGGACAGGCTCAGCTGTGCAGCCCGCCTCCCCGCGACGCCCAGCATCTCAGATGACTCATCCAGCGGCACGAGGTCAACGACGGCGCGTTGGTCGTACCACGGAAAGTTGAGGCCTGTACCTGCGCCCACCTCCAAAACGTGCCCACTGGCCTGCAGCAAAAGACAGACAAATCTTCCTTGATCTGCTATAACAGACTTAGTAGGAGTTAACAGAAATGACTACAAACTACATCTGAGTCTGGCTTCTGCTAATCTCCTGAAACTACCTTCCAGAAAACGCTGAATTGGTGTTGCCTACTGCCAGCTTTGTGCTGATGCATTTGTTCCTCCTATTTGAAAGTACTACTTCATATGAGTCGCAGCAGTGATGGGGGGCTTGTGCCATGTGGGTGCAAATGTTGATGAGAATAAGAGACTCTCAAATCCTGAGAAGGAAATGATGGGATCTGAACATACAAGTGCAAGAGCCATACACTGTCGTGTAGATTTAAAAAGAACAGCGTGTTTCTTCCAAAATACTGGGCCTGGGATCAGAAGCAAAGAATCGCTGCCTACATGTACAGAAGCGATGCACAGAGAGGGAGCAGCCGTGCGTTCACAATTGATCGGCAATTGACAATGGTGCACAGACACCAGTGAAGTGGAGCTGGTAGTTTCCCCATCTAAATTTTGCACAAGGATTGAGGTTCAAACTCAACAATATTATGGACAATAGACTCTGCAGTGGCCATGGCACCCCGCAAAAGCTTGTGATGGTTTCCGTGCTGCTTATGTGACAAAACAAACACCCTTCATGGTGAGACAAACGTTTTTGTGGAGGCAAGGAAATGCAGCTGCAACACCAGCGGCCATAGCCACTGCTGCTCTTATGCACATGGCACAAACCCATCCCGACAAAATCGTTGCTCGGGGTTTAGGATATGCTACAAAGTGCATGATGGTCGACAGTTACTGGACAATTTTACAAGGCAGTAGAAGATGCCATTCCCCATCATCAGCCAGCTATACCCTACAAAATTCTACAGTCATGGCAAGGCCTTGGAATCCCCATTTTCTCAGTGTGTTTCCTGTTGCGAACGCATGCTTCCGCATCCACACTGCAAAAAAAGGCTTCAATGGTATCTAGATCAGGCGCCCAAAAAAACCTTCCAAGTGCGAGGGCATCGCTCCAACATCCTTCCACTAATGGAGCAAAATCTGACTTCAGTTTTTCAGGAGGGGACCCCTGCCTGCGATGTATGTTTCCCCCTTGCAATAAAGGCGATGTTTGCAGGTCCAACGTTTGCATGTCTCCACCTCTGCACAAGCTCTCCTACGAAGTTTGGTGAGGCCCAGCAGCTCAGGCAGGGAGCCGCCATTGAGGTCGTCATAAGTGTCAGCAAACCTGCGTGGCAACACAGAGGCGCACGGCATTCCAGTGCCAACAGAAAAGGGAACACTGTACACAAAACGATGCAAAAGTTCCCCAGCGTATTGGATAACGTACAGAAGATATCCACAGTTGCTAAAATGTGTTTGGTTAAGAAAACCTGCACAGGAACAAGCAGTGTCAAAGTTCGAAATGTGGCTCTGTGCATCAAGCGGTATTTTTTGTTCCTAAAGATGGAATCACTTTACAAAATCCATGTGCCATTCTCTTCGAACAAAGAGATAGTATCAGTTATGTAGGAACGCCTTTGACGGCCTGTTCTCTGCGCCTGTGGGCCATCAGTGTGCAAAGATTGCTGTAAATCTGTTGAAAGAAATCAAGGCCCATAACATGCAGTGGCCAAAACCTCCGGGCACCAGGTGATGATGCCCGCCGGGCATCCCGATTTCCCCAACGATGACTGCGTTGGATCGCCAATCCCATGAGATTGCCAGATCAACGATTTGCCTTCCAAGCATTTCAAGCGGCGACCCCCTCTCGGCAACGCCCGATCAGCGCAGGGCGAATCGATTTCAAACGCGCCCGTCGCTCAAAGCAACGAACGGCCGCCTGCCGCGCGATCACCCAGACGGGAACCAATGCGAGCGACTTCGATCCCCCGCTCAAAAGCGACGCAGAAAGCCCAAAATCGTCATGCGCCCGTTGTGTGTCCCTCTTGCTGCCCCGAAGACTCCACCTCACCTTCTCACAAACGGAAAAAGAGGGTCTCACCCACACTCTCCCAGGAAGGGGTGCCCTCTGTATAACAAATCTTACCCGTCATATGCCGCTCCCCCATCGCACCGCCCGTCCGGAGGACGCATCATCCCTTGAGAGGCGGCCAGCGACAGGCACGCCCCCAGGACGCTCCGCCGCGGCCCTTGTCAAACAACACTGTTGAACAACATTATTAAATAACATTGTGAAACAACACTCACAAGCATGCCTCCTTCCCAGCGTAGTGCCAAGTTGAGTGTCATGTCCCTTTTGATTCCACACTCAGATGTTGTCTTGTTGTTGTCGAGGTCCTTTCCCATGAACAAGAGTCTTTGCAAGCATACAGGGATGCCTGTCAGCTCCTCGATCTTCCTCTTGATCGCTTGGATTCTGTCACACAGGTCAATTTGCAAGACGATGCTTCTGCCTTCGACAGTCCTCACAAAGACTTGAAGGCGTTTGCGACGAGGTGCATGCTTGTGGGGAAGCCAAGTGGGCCTCGACGGCAAGGCAGGCTGTGATGCCCAGATCAACAGTTGCAAGAGAACCATGAAGCGCAATGGTGTCAAGGCTTCAATGCTTCAAGCAACGGGCATGAAGTGCACTGACGAACACGGCGCAATGCACAGCACGGCAGTAGTCGCAGTACGCAAGGTGCACTCGCGGAGCGCAGTGGTCTTTGTTTCAGCCTGTGAGCTATGTTGCTGGCAAGTTTTTGGCGGTACTTTCTGCCACGCAAAAGGGGCGGGGAATGCTAAGGACAAAGGTGTAAGGCACAACTGGGATTCGAACCCAGTCCTTCTCCCATAGAGAGAGGCGCTCGCCACGAGCTCTTGTGCCCGATGCCGAGCATATTCTGCTGCCCCGGCTGGAAAAGTTTGCACGATCATATTTGTCGCTGCTCAAGCACCCCCACCCCCTCAAGAAACACGTGCTTATAATGTGCACGAAGGGCATCCTGCCGCGCGGGGGCGCGTCAATCGGCCCAGCAGAAATGTCCGTGCGACCACCGACAATCGACAGCCCGAATCCCAATTCCCTGCACCAGCCCAGCCCCTCCGTCTCTGCTTCCTCGTGTTCAGAATTGCCCCCCCCTCTCTCCCCCCCCCGCAACTGGACTCTTGCGGTGTTCATTTGCACTCACCGTGAGGCCTGTACTCGGCTACAGGCTGTGGCGCCAGCGACTTAGTCCGCCGGCGACGGATCGCCGCGTGCTGCGCCCCAGTGCTCGCGCTCCATGGCGGGGCGCCGTGCTCGAAATGGTGCATTGTGCGCCTGGAGGCTAGCCCCCACGGGCAGCGACGTGCGACGCCGATTGCCCCCGCGGGTCAGCTGCGACCGTGGCCACGCGTGCCGAGGTGCGGAACTGCAGGACTGCGGAGGGGAGGCGCCAGTGTTTTGTCCCGCGACCCAGCTAGTCCCACGATTTTCGCGGCAGGGACGCACGGGGGGCCGGGCCGCTCCCCTAGCTAGGGGCGAGCGGGGCCGGCCCGGCGCGTGCCGGCCCTGGTCCGGCGCCTGCATGCTGACGTTGGAAGGCAGCGACAAAATAACGTTTCCCGTTGGGGGGGCATATTTCGCAAAGCCATGCAGCGCCCAGCGCAGTCGCCGGCGAGCCGCCCCGCCTCCGGCGCGCGGCAAGAGGGCAGCACGTGCGACCCGACGGGATCGCGACGCTGGGGGCCCGCCCGTGATCGCCGATGCCAGCAGAGCAGAGAGGCTGGCTGGAGATGCCAACTCCCGGCCGGGGGGGGCGAGCGGATGTGGCCGCGGCGGAGCGTCCTGGGGGCGTGCCTGTCGCTGGCCGCCTCTCAAGGGATGATGCGTCCTCCGGACGGGCGGTGCGATGGGGGAGCGGCATATGACGGGTAAGATTTGTTATACAGAGGGCACCCCTTCCTGGGAGAGTGTGGGTGAGACCCTCTTTTTCCGTTTGTGAGAAGGTGAGGTGGAGTCTTCGGGGCAGCAAGAGGGACACACAACGGGCGCATGACGATTTTGGGCTTTCTGCGTCGCGTTTGAGCGGGGGATCGAAGTCGCTCGCATTGGTTCCCGTCTGGGTGATCGCGCGGCAGGCGGCCGTTCGTTGCTTTGAGCGACGGGCGCGTTTGAAATCGATTCGCCCTGCGCTGATCGGGCGTTGCCGAGAGGGGTTCGCTGCTTGAAATTCTTGGAAGGCAAATCGTTGATCTGGCAATCTCATGGGATTGGCGATCCAACGCAGTCATCGTTGGGGAAATCGGGATGCCCGGCGGGCATCATCACCTGGTGCCCGGAGGTTTTGGCCACTGCATGTTATGGGCCTTGATTTCTTTCAACAGATTTACAGCAATCTTTGCACACTGATGGCCCACAGGCGCAGGGAACAGGCCGTCAAAGGCGTTCCTACATAACTGATACTATCTCTTTGTTCGAAGAGAATGGCACATGGATTTTGTAAAGTGATTCCATCTTTAGGAACAAAAAATACCGCATGATGCACAGAGCCACATTTCGAACTTTGACACTGCTTGTTCCTGTGCAGGTTTTCTTAACCAAACACATTTCAGCAACTGTGGATATCTTCTGTACGTTATCCAATACGCTGGGGAACTTTTGCATCGTTTTGTGTACAGTGTTCCCTTTTCTGTTGGCACTGGAATGCCGTCCGCCTCTGTGTTGCCACGCAGGTTTGCTGACACTTATGACGACCTCAATGGTGGCTCCCTGCCTGAGCTGCTGGGCCTCACCAAACTTCGTAGGAGAGCTTGCGCAGAGGTGGAGACATGCAAACGTTGGACCTGCAAACATCGCCTTTATTGCAAGGGGGAAACATACATCGCAGGCAGGGGTCCCCTCCTGAAAAACTGAAGTCAGATTTTGCTCCATTAGTGGAAGGATGTTGGAGCGATGCCCTCGCACTTGGAAGGTTTTTTTGGGCGCCTGATCTAGATACCATTGAAGCCTTTTTTTGCAGTGTGGATGCGGAAGCATGCGTTCGCAACAGGAAACACACTGAGAAAATGGGGATTCCAAGGCCTTGCCATGACTGTAGAATTTTGTAGGGTATAGCTGGCTGATGATGGGGAATGGCATCTTCTACTGCCTTGTAAAATTGTCCAGTAACTGTCGACCATCATGCACTTTGTAGCATATCCTAAACCCCGAGCAACGATTTTGTCGGGATGGGTTTGTGCCATGTGCATAAGAGCAGCAGTGGCTATGGCCGCTGGTGTTGCAGCTGCATTTCCTTGCCTCCACAAAAACGTTTGTCTCACCATGAAGGGTGTTTGTTTTGTCACATAAGCAGCACGGAAACCATCACAAGCTTTTGCGGGGTGCCATGGCCACTGCAGAGTCTATTGTCCATAATATTGTTGAGTTTGAACCTCAATCCTTGTGCAAAATTTAGATGGGGAAACTACCAGGTCCACTTCACTGGTGTCTGTGCACCATTGTCAATTGCCGATCAATTGTGAACGCACGGCTGCTCCCCCTCTGTGCATCGCTTCTGTACATGTAGGCAGCGATTCTTTGCTTCTGATCCCAGGCCCAGTATTTTGGAAGAAACACGCTGTTCTTTTTAAATCTACACGACAGTGTATGGCTCTTGCACTTGTATGTTCAGATCCCATCATTTCCTTCTCAGGATTTGAGAGTCTCTTATTCTCATCAACATTTGCACCCACATGGCACAAGCCCCCCATCACTGCTGCGACTCATATGAAGTAGTACTTTCAAATAGGAGGAACAAATGCATCAGCACAAAGCTGGCAGTAGGCAGCACCAATTCAGCGTTTTCTGGAAGGTAGTTTCAGGAGATTAGCAGAAGCCAGATTCAGATGTAGTTTGTAGTCATTTCTGTTAACTTCTACTAAGTCTGTTATAGCGGATCAAGGAAGATTTGTCTGTCTTTTGCTGCAGGCCAGTGGGCACGTTTTGGAGGTGGGCGCAGGTACAGGCCTCAACCTTCCGTGGTACGACCAACGCGCCGTCGTTGACCTCGTGTCGCTGGATGAGTCATCTGAGATGCTGGGCGTCGCGGGGAGGCGGGCTGCACAGCTGGGCCTGTCCGATTGGGTCACATTTCAAAAGGTGGGGCGTGGCAAGCCCGGACGTTTGACATCGTGAGAAATCGTGTACTTCATACTGATAGAAACGTCATGTTTGCAATGCCAACTGCAATGCCATTTGACACAAATTGGTGCCGTCACAGTGATTGTGATGGCATAAAAGGGGCTGTGATGGCATCAATTTGTGTTAAACGGCATTGCAGTTGGCATCGCAATCAGGGTGTTTTCTACTGGTGTCAGTAAGTCATTTAGTCCGGAAGCAGATGGTTTACCTTCCATGCCTATAGCAGCCTGTTTTGCTGGGCACGTTGTCACAACACACGGCGTACGGTCCAGCGCCCTTGAACTTTTTCATTGGAAATGAACAGGTTCCTGATTTTGCTTTCGTTTGAAGCATGTTGAGCTTCATTTGAAGTGCATTGAATTTTGCTGCGAGCTTCACCCAATTCGCGCCCGTGCACCTGTCTCCACATTTTTCTGCCGTCGCTTTTTGCTAATTTGTCCTATTCCTTGTGTGACGCCTTGCCACAGGGCGACGCTGCACACCTGCCGTTCAGTGACGGAACCTTTGACACTGTGCTTGACACGTTTTCGCTGTGCGTCTTTTCGGAACCCGTTGCTGTGCTAAAGGAGATGCGGAGGGTCCTCAAGCCTGGCGGGCTGCTGCTGCTGCTGGAGCACACCCGGAGCACCAATGCCCTGCTGGGCGCCTACCAGGCAAGCTGGCCTACTATTTGCATTGGCGCTTAATTATTTGCAATAATTAAGCGCTATCTACTGCGAGGCACTGTACAGTGCACGATGACAGTTCACTGTTGTCGATGTCGCTGATCTTGACGTCAATCTCATTCTCCACAAACTCAATCGTGTTAGGAAATCGTGGTGCACATATGAATGGATGAACATCGTTGCAGGCAACGCGAAAATTCGACACACTGGTCATGTCACGCGTCTCTGCTGACCTCAGATAGTCAACAGCGTCCCCTTGCTAGCGGTCCACACTGACCTCACATCGATTGGAAAGAAAGAAGAAAAACGGCATCAAGAAATAACGGTGAACACATCAGAGGTGAACACATCGGGGACATGCCATGACTGGCGCCTCAAGTCCCAAGTGTGATGCAAGATATCGACATGGGGGGAAACTTCAACAACGGCGCACCGTTGTGAGTGTGGGTGTGTGCGCAGGACGTCACCACAGGTCCCGTGTCATTGACTTCTAAAGGGTGCGTCTGGAGTCAAGACGTGCCAGCACTCCTGAGAGCTGCGGGAGTTCAAATATCGCGCAGCGAACCCGCTTTGGGAGGTTTGGTGGCGCTGTTCAGAGGGCGTTAGGCATTGGTAGAAACGCGTGCTTTGTCACAGAATGTGCGTTTGGGTTATATCAGATTTGTTAATCTCGTGCAAAACAAATTAATGAGTTTTGGAAACAAAAGTTGACATTAAGGGAACGCACTACGTCTATTTTGGCGCTGGAAGGGGGGGCGGGAGGGGGGCCATACGAGCTGTGCTCAGCGTAATAAAACCGATATAGTGCCTTCCCTTTGATATAGCCGCTACATCCGAAGTTCCACATCGAGGACGAAAATTCAACCTTCAATTCAACGCATTGCAAGAAAACGGAATGGCGCATTGTTGGCGCCCCAAGCTTGAGCTTTGTCTGGGCACCTTCTGTGTATCAATAATTTGACTGTGAAAGCTCTGAGTGCAGGGAACGAAGCGCAGAATGTGCTGTACAACCAAGAGATGCCAAATAAAGTTAACGAAAAGCTTGAAACGAAGTGAAGAAAACAAACAGTGCAGACCGGCAGTGCCCAGGGCAGTTCAACGGTGAACGGGAGCAGAACCTACTTCTGTGAGCAGTGATTGACGCGACATGCATATGAACAAGGCCTGGCGTCAATTATCCGGCTCGAGCACTGATTTGGAAATGTTGCTCGGCACTGCCTTCACCGGCTAAGCTTATGGTACGTAATGTTGCTGCTTCACTCAATGTATGGCACACGACTGACATATGGCGCCTGACTGGCGACCATGGTCCATTGGGAGATTGGCTATGGGCAGATGATGGGCACTGCTTAGTATCGATTGATACTGCTGCTCTTGTCACGACAAGAAGGGTACAGTCCAAGAACGTGAGCAATTCAACTGATCACTCGTAATTGGCACCCCAACACTTACATAGCTGCGTAGCAGTGCTATAATAGCGCGTTGTGTTAGGCAATTTCGGATCCATTACAGTGATCATTGCAACTCAGCATGATCCTAAGATTGGTTGCTCCTCCACTGAGGAACACCATGTGCCTATGTAACACTAAGCATACTGTAGTACGTTCAGCCCTTTCGCATTGCAACACAGCGTTTGGTCTTTTCCTGCAGAGGAATAGTATAGCATGTGACAGTGCGGAAGGAATTATGCGGAAAGCCAGTAAATGACGCCCTGAAATAATGCCAAAGGCGCCAATAAAACAACGCCAGGCATGCGCAGAATGTACTGCGGCGAGTCGCTTGTGGGCCACCTGCTCAGGTCACACGGTGCATGTACATAAGAGCATGTGGACTGGTCAGTTGCACCTGAAACTTGGCCAGCAGGCCAGCAGACTGTATTGCTCAGCCTATGCCCGCCAGACACGATGTGGAGGGGGAAATTAACAATCTGACAGAATGCGCAGCAAAACTGTAACGCCAATTCTTTGATGTGGAAGTGTTGAATATGCTATGGCACCACCATCGACTCACCCAATACGACGTGCCCCCATTCAGCAATTCTGGTGTTGAGCGGCCCTGGCAGGGGCTGGTAGGAGATGTCATACATATTGCGTTTGCACATGATGCTTAGAAAGGCACATTGCCAGGATTTTCCGTAACTGGTGCTGATCTTGCTTAGCAGTGTGCTGCCGTCCATCTTCCATGCGCAATCATTGCCCATTATAGGTGTGAGTTATGGCCAACCATGGATGTTTCTGTTTAACTGGTCTCCATGACCACCCACATGTTCGCTCCCACAAAATTTTGATCAGGCGGAGCAAACGGAAGAACAAGGCTGAGGCTGGCGCCTACAACAGCAGTCACCATTCAGCTTCGCCAAATTTCAGTCACATTCAAGAGCGCCAGACTTTCGATGGCCATTTTTGAGCACCTTGGTACTTATGCAAACCCAGAGTACGGTGTTGTAGACACCCCAACGGCAAGGCCAGGCATTTCAATAGCCTCACAGCCCTGGACGTCAATTCAAAACCTCGGCACTCTCACCCGACGTCGACCTTGATAGAATCCCATGCGTAACCATTGCCGCTGGATTATCGAGCCCGGATAGATGGGGTTGCTGCATGGAGGCGACACCCTCATAGAGTCGCAAATGCAATCAAGCCACACCCATGAAATTCGCAAGTAGCTCACACATGCATTGGAGCCAGAGCAACGAAACTGGGAGCGAAGATCGTAAATTGGCTCAGGGATACCCCTTCGAAGGCAAGGAGGATGGCTTTCGTCCCAAGCCACATTTAGCCACATTCAGCCACATATGAAAGACATTGGTGCGAAAATGACTCAGTGACGATGTGTGATGTCCAGACCCTTTTGCTGCTATTCACCAGTCTGAACAGTGAGCACAATCCACTAGGGAAAAAACAGCCGAATAACACGTGATCCCTTTCACAAGTCACTCCGGACCAATTGAGGTTTCAGACGTCCATCCAGCAATTCCTCCTGCGATTTTCTATGGGGTATATTTCTATGGATGGGCTGCACAACCCACCAACATCATTTCACATCACGCACCGTGACAACATGAGTGTTTGTCAATGCGTGCCTTCGCCAATTCCGAATCGTTGGACAACAGCTTAAGCACGCATTGAGTCCATTTGAACTTCCAGCCACATTCCACACTCTAGTCTTAGTTTTGCCTGCTGAAAGCCTCCCCAAACACAATGAAAACGATGGACAGTGCCATGTACCCCAGTAGATATTTCATCATGTGCTGCCTCAGGATTTTGAATGTCGTCAACGTGGTTGGCACTAAATCCGCAGATGCGCGCTCTTGGTGGCTCTTTCCCGACAAACCCTGACCACTGGACTTCTCCAAAACATCATACACTTTGCCAGATTCTGCACTTGTTGCACAATGAGGATTCTCAAGCGATCCGTTTTGGAACAAAAAGGTATGACTCCACTTCTTCGTCTTGAAGCTGTAGTCCAAATAGACGTCGGACCCATCCATCAAGGTGTCCGCCAAGTACACCCTGTTGTCTCCAGAAATTGCTGCCATTTGCAACAACAGCATAGCCGCAACATCGCGATTAGGTCTGACGGTGAATTTTCTGACAAGAGCATTGGCATCATCTGAACCCAGTGCCTTGCCGTCGCTGCATACGATCTCAAATGCACTGTTTTTCACCTTTCCCATTGTCACATCCTCGACGAAAGTCGCCACAGAGTCCACATCGAGCTGGTTCAAATGGTACAGCGTATTATGCACTGAACCACTGGCCAGGAATGACATGGTAAGGACTGCCCTTATGAACAGGAACAGCCTGAGGTGGCCCTCATGCATGTATGGGCAATCCTCAAGAGCATCCATGATCTGCCCGGACATGCTGGTTGTTTTGTCGCTCAGGTCATGCCACCCTCCTATTACCTTCACAATATAACAGTAGTCCTTGACGCGCTTGTGAAAGGCTTCACCTGTGAATTCTGCCTTAGACATCAGCCCCTCCCCGGCAACGTCGTAAAGCAGTTCAAAACCCTTCCTGCCCCAATCGCTGTGCTCAACCATGGAATGCACCCTCTCAATTCGCATTCTCTCCGCCTTCCAATCGAAATGCAGCAGAATGAATGACGTGCTCCTCGAAGCACAAATGATCGGTATGGTGACGACATCTGTCTGGCAGTATTCCAGGCATCCCTTCTGCAGATCCTCGATATGTTTAGAAAGCGGGGGTATAGCCCCGACCACGCTCGAAAGCACTGGCACCAGCACCGACGAAAGCAGTGGATAGACATTGTCTGTTTCCAGAAAGAGAATTACCCCGTACGCCCAGACGAGAGCCGTGACTGCAATGTATATGGCCCATTTGTGCCATGCGTTGAGCAGCTTTCGCAAGCGCACCTTTGAGCCAGCGTCGTTGTCCCACAGTGCTATTGGCCTCCTGTACTTCGACCTTGCTCTTTCATACCCAACAGGATACAGCCACAGGGCGATGACTGTGGCCAGTATTGGCGCCGGTCCAGTGGTGTGTATCACATTCAATGTTTCATCGTCCTTTCTATTAAAGCTGAGAGACAACAGCCCAATCTGAATGATGGAGAGTATGAACACAACGACCGCAGTGAATGTTACTGATTTCTGGTCTGTCTTAGCTCTCCATTGCATCTTGTACTGTCCCATAGCTGCTGCCAGGCCAACATACAAGGCCTGAGACGCAACCAAGATACCTTGTGGCACTTGCACCACTGCCGAAGTGCTTGTGCTTATCGTCTGTCCCATGGCCAGTCCTATTCCGCCGAATCCGATGAACAATCTGACAGCCAAAATCCCTTGCGTTCCAAGACGTCCTGTGGCCCTTGCAGTGCAGTTGGCATGCTTGCTGCCAATGGCACTTGTGCCAAAGCTTGAACCGCTTTTTGTCCCCGCCGGCACGGTCTGGCTATCTTCCCCCTGGTTGTATCTTCGGCGATCAGTGTCTCCATTTTGGGAGGTGGTCTCGTGTTTGGATGGCAGGCGGTGTAAAATACAGAGCAGCAGCACGGCTGCAATGATTTCACACAGGGAGTATAGCATGATGTTTACGAGACCGCTCTGTATCAGGTCCGTGCCAGGATTCCTGTCATCAACTACGTATTGTGCTGACAGCAGCGCCCTGCAGTGCACCAACGAGCGTCGCAGTTAGTCGCCAAACGCCATCCCATGCTTTTGCCTAGGAAAGGATTTTGCATCGCATCCAAGCGTTGATGTGATCCTTCTCGTTTGATTCACAGGCCTTCGTTGTTTTTATTTGAGTCCCCCCCCCCCTCTCTTTCTGTGGAGGGGCTTCGGCTGGGGTTCTATTTTGGCGCAAATGATTGGCAGAAGCATTCATGTGATTGCAGGTATGAGGCACAATGCGCAGGGCGCGAGCTGATGACAGCCCACGTAGTAATGCCGGGTGAACACCAAGGCAGCGATGGAAGGATGGTCCTCGCGATTTCCATCCCGACTCGCATGCTGCGCGCCATGATCGCCTGTCGCTGCATGATGCAAGCTTGCAAGACACTCACCCGCCATCAGAAAGCGACATTTTGGTAATACTGGGTGTGGTGCCATTTGACACTTGTTGATGCCCTCACAGCCGTTTCAA